TGTGCACATAGGTGTGTAAAACTACATAGACAACAATTTAGTTACTGACTCTGTGCACATAGAGTGCTGAGTATTGGGATATCTTAACAGGTTATGAGCCCCGCGCCTTAGGACTCTCTGGACACGTCATTTGCCACGTCATCCACCTCTGCGCAACTTCCCATACTTCCTGGACCTATCCCTCGCCCTCTAGCCCTATATTTGTCGCCAGTAGCCCCAGAACTCACCCACTGCATCTGTGTCTTGCCAACATGAGTGAAGACATCACCACTGCTGCCCTCTCCATTACCCAGCTCACTGCCTCCAACTATGCTGCCTGGAACAGCGAAATGAAGGCCTTCCTGCGCTCTAAAGGACTGTGGACCATTGTCAGTGGTACTGAAAAGCGCCCTCCTGTCTCTGAAAGCGATCTGTGCCTCCAATGGGACCTCAGAGTGAACCAAGCAGCTGGAGCACTGTATCTAGCCATCTCTGGTCGCTTCAGAACCCTCATTGAACCTGTTGAGGATCACCCAGACCTCATTTGGTCAACCCTGGCTACTATGCATCTCCAGGAGCCTCCCAGTGCTACAAGTCAAGCCCCCATACCTTCCAATTCGCTCCAACAGCCCATATCTATGCATAGGCGATGTATACACAGCCAAAACTTGCCCCCAATTGCTGAGTTTGCTGGAAATGCAAGTTTTCGCTCCACAGATCCCTCCTCGCCTCTCTACCCTCTCCAACTCGATGCAGATGTCCACTGGAATGCAGATACTGGTGCCACTGCACACATGACCCCTCATCGCCACTGGCTGCGCAATTACACCCCCAAATGTGTCCCTGTGAGACTGGCAGACAACAAATTGGTATACTCTGCTGGAGTTGGGTCTGTGGTGTTTGTGCCTGTAGTCAGAGGCCAGAAGCGTCGCCCTGTGGAGATCACCGAATGCTGATGGCTCCATAGATCGCTACAAGGCCAGACTTGTTGCAAAAGGCTATAATCAGCGCCCTGGCTTTGATTATCTCGAGGTCTTTGCTCCTACAGTGCACCTTGCCTCTGTCAGAGTGGTTCTAGCTCTTGCAGCTCTCCAGGACCTCCATCTGCGCTCTGTGGACATCTCCCATGCCTACCTGAATGGGGAAATGGACTGTGAAGTCTATATGGCACAACCTGAAGGATTTGTGGAAGGAAACTCGAAATCTCATGTCTGCCTGCTCCAGAAAGCCATCTATGGCAGCAAACAAGGTGGCAATCACTGGAACAGGAAAATGCGCTCTGTGTTGGAGTCCCTGCACTTCAAACAAACCTATTCTGATGCCAGCATCTATATCTACTCCAAGGATGGTGTCTCCATCATCTTGCCTGTTTTTGTGGATGATATGACTCTTGCTTCGTCTTCTGAAGCTGCCATAGACTCCTTCATCTGCCAACTCAGCCAGCACTTCAAACTGCGAGATCTAGGACCTACTACCCAACTCCTGGGCATCAAAATTGACAGAGATCGCCCCAATCGCTCCATTTCGCTCTCCCAGTGCCAGTACTGCCTGGATTTACTGGAAAGATTTGGCATGGCTGACTGCAAGCCACTATCTACACCCATGGAGCCAAATCTTCGCCTCTCTCGCTCCCAGTCTCCCCAGGATGCCTCAGAAATCGAGAAAATGCGCCAAGTACCCTATCTCTCCGCTGTAGGTGCTCTGATGTACCTTACCACCACTACCCGCCCAGACATTTGTTGCAGGTGTAGTACTCCAGCACTCAGCAATGCTAGTCCCTACTAGCACTTGGTGGTTAAACCACACCAAGTAAGCCTGGATACCTTGACCAAGTAGCTCAGTGGTTAGAGCACCCGGTCGAAACCTGGGAGGTCCAGGGTTCAATCCCCTGTCTGGTCGCATTTATTGCAACAGGTTATGAGCCCCGGGCGCTTGTGGGAATGTCCTGATAAGTCCTTTCTGCTTAAGTCAATGGATTCCCACAGCTGGGATTTCCCCATTAAGACCTACTTGTGCCTCAGTAAGACCTTTACCGGAGGCAACAATGTGTAAGCCCTACCAATTAAGGCAGAATGGCCCCTGAGCCATCAAAGACCTTTGCAGGAGGCAGCATGTGTAAGACCTACCACATAAGGCAGTTGCCACTTTAGGCAGTGATTTCCCACGCTTGCGCCTTGTTGCTGTGCACTGGATTAGGGGGAGGCTGTTGCAGGTGTAGTACTCCAGCACTCAGCAATGCTAGTCCCTACTAGCACTTGGTGGTTAAACCACACCAAGTAAGCCTGGATACCTTGACCAAGTAGCTCAGTGGTTAGAGCACCCGGTCGAAAACCTGGGAGGTCCAGGGTTCAATCCCCTGTCTGGTCGCATTTATTGCAACAACATTGCCTATACTGTTGGAGTTCTGGCCAGATTCAACTCCAATCCTGGCTGGGCTCATTGGCAGGCTGTGAAGCACCTAATGCGCTATATCAAGGGTACTCTGGACTATTCCCTGACCTATTCTCCTGATCCTTCAACCTCTGAGCCCTTCACCACCTTCTCTGATGCAGATCATGGTGGCTGCAAGGATACTGGTTGCTCTACAGGTGGATATGTTGTCAAGATGGGTACTGGAGCAATCTCCTGGTGTTCCAAGCTTCAAAATGTTGTTGCTCTATCTACCACTGAGGCAGAATACATAGCAGCTGTCCAGGCAGGCAAGGAGATCAAGTGGCTTCGAAATTTACTCTCTGAAATCGCTTCTCCACTGTCTTCTCCCTCTGTGCTGCACATGGACAACCAATCTGCCATCTCTGTGGCCAAGAATCCTGAACACCATGGCAGAATGAAGCAACTTGATCTCTGCTTCTACTGGCTTAGAGATGCAGTCCAGGACAACCTCATTGCGCCCACTTTTGTCCCCACTGATGCCCAGGCTGCTGATCTGATGACCAAACCACTGTCCAAGGCCAAGGTGATCAACTTCTGTCAGATGCTAGGACTAGGTGGATCAAGTGGGAGTTCTTAATGTGCAGAGGTGCACAATCAGGGGGGAGTGTTGCTATTAGTGCCTGTGCACCTCAGACTAATTCACAGGTTCCCCACCTTCCATATTAATGATGTGTGCACTTATTTTCATCAGTTTTTCTTTGTTTGTTCAGTGTTCGCATTTTTACTGTGCACAGAGTATCTGTTAAGATAACCACAAACTGAGGCCACTGGTGCCCAGTGTAAGAGACTATTATTGAGTAAAGTAATACAGGACTGTACCTGGTGCCCAGTGTAAGAGACTGAAGAAAATTTCACTGGGCACAGAGCAGTAAGTGCGCAAAAATGATAAACAAATGTAAATAATAAATAAAAGCAAACCAAGGACACTTAGAGCGAAGCTAAGTGTCCACTACATGTCTGTAGTGTTAGACAGAGATAAAACAAAGGGCAAATGCGGTCTGAGGTGCACAGGCACCTAATATGAACAGTATCTTGTTCTTTAGTTACTGACTCTTGGCCTTGCCAGTTGCTTTCCCCCAGTTGGTCTAGCACAGTTAACACTGCTTTGCAGTGCATGTCACTTTGGATGAACCCTGCCCAGTCTTGTCCCTGGTCCACCCCATCCCAGTCTCCAGTCACCTTAGTCATACCTTACTAATACTAGTCTTACCAATCATCTTAGCAATCTTTGCAAGACTGGCATTCCCAGTCTCCATACTATAGTCTGTCTCTAGTATATAAACCCATAGATACTCAGCTTGTACTCTTCAGTCTGAAATCAACTAAGTTACTCTGATCACCCTGCCTTGGACTTGGACTGAAACCCACACAAGGGAATAGCACTGCATCCTCAGTCACTAAGTCCAAACAGTCCACTCTCTGTATCTTTGCCTTTCCCCCTGATCCCAACCCCTCAGCCCTGCACCTGCTTCAGTCTCCAGTCTGGCCTCAAACCCAGACATCATGAACTTGACAGTATTTCAGACTCACCACTTGTGTAGGTCTAACAGATCATGGCTACTAAAAACTCATTTCCAACCTCCCTGTGGCCATGCTGCCACCAACCCCAAATCCAACTCAGCCAGTGGAACTTGTCATGAGACAGCACTAGCTGCCATGGGCACCACTAGGTGCTCTCCAGACCCCATTAGTCCTTTCAGGGGCTTTCCAGCCCAAGCATCCAATACTCCCACCCCATGTTGCCCCATTGCCCCCATCCCTGATGATGATCCCAGGGATGATGGGCTGGGGGATGATGATAACAACAATCCTGATGATGATGACCCCAGCAATGGTCCTGATGATGATGGGCCTGGTGATGATAATCTGGATGAGAATGATCTGGAGGATGAACTGGACTTCCCAGACCTGGACACTGAACCCATGGTTGTGGTCTTTGACAGTCTCACAAAGGCCATCAAGCCACTGGCTCACAACAACTGCACTAGTCCTGAGTCATCAAGCAGGACCAAGCTGCATGAGCCTGACACCTTTGATGGTACTGACCCCAAGAAGCTAGTTTTCCATGTAAGCAGAGGCATGAAGCATTACATAGAATTTAGTCCATGTGTGAGTAAGCAAAGTGTGATGCATCTCTTACTTCTGCACACTTCATGAACTGCAGTCTCTGTGCCTCCAGCCCCCATGCAGATCTCTTCTAGTCTTTCACATCGACTGCTCTCAGATGGAAAATCCCAACCTGGCAGTACAGCCCAATTTTACCACAGAAGAATATCAAGATGCTTGTCTTCAACTCATTAATGACATAGTAAATGGTCAACAAGCTGCCAACATCCTAGTGTCCCTATGGACACTAAACAACAATAAAGAAAAACTCAACTGGCAAGTGTGCAAAGAACAAGAAGCCCAAAGAACACAAGAAGAACTAGAGCAAGCTGGAAGAAGAATCTGAAGAACTACAATGCTGCAGACTCAAAGAAGCAGAAACAGTGCAAGCAGAAGAGCACAAAATGAACAGAGTCAAGCATGCTCCAATATGCAAAGTAGGGGTTCCCTCAGGCCCTGTCAACATCCCCTCCCCATATGCAATGCACAAACTCAAGAAAGGTGAATATGTCAAACTCTGCTTTTTCACCAACATTGGCCTAGCAGATGCAGAGTCCTTCAACCCATTGGTAGATGACAAAGCCCTAACCCTACTCAAAGCTGACAATGGTCAACACATCTGGGTTCCAGCTTCAACCACTAGAGATAAGTCATCTGTTATAAAAGATGAGGACTTAACCTGGGAGCAGTCCAGAGAGGCCACCATCCATCTAATAAGTGCCATGAAGGAACATGACTGGGAGGAAGAAAGAATAGACATGCACATAGATTTTTGGACAGCCATCGAGGCTCACCCATGGTGCCATTCCCTTCATGCTCACCTCAAGAAAGCATTACTACTCTACCAAAGCCAACAGAGACAGAGGTGGCACCAAGTGTTGTTGACACTCAACACCTGGTCCCTAGCAGAGTTGAACCAAGAACTGCTAAATGATGCCCGAGAAGAGATATGTGACAAAGGGTACTACCAAGAACTCAACAATCTCAGAAAGGTGTGGGTTATCAGCATCACAACACCACTCAACCTGACCACTCCCCCCCCCCTTCTTCTCCCTGCACACCATTCCCCATTCCCCTCTCTCACATATTCCACCATGCTACACACTAACCCTGGCATAACATCCATTGAACAACCATACCTTCTACTCCACTCTGCTATCTGGCATCACACCCATTGATCACAAACCTTACCCCCCCCCCTCCAGCATCATGTCCATTGATCAACCATACCCAGGTCAATGAGCACTTCACAGCCTTAGCAGCACAACCCACATCTGCCAACCACCCAATGAGGACTCCAAGTGGCACAAAACAATCACTGTCCCCTGGAGATCACACCTGCTCATCAGACTATGCAGACCACAAACACCAAAGGTCCTTTTGGACCCATACCTCATTGGACTATCTACCACACAATGGACCCCTCCCAGCATCTGCTGTCTGCCTCAAG